GTGTGTATATGTATGTATATGTGTGTATGCATGTATGTATGTATGCATGAATGTATGTATGTATGTATGTATGTATGTATGTATGTATGTATGTATGTATGTATGTATGTATGTATGTATGTATGTATGTATGTATGTATGTATGTATGTATGTATGTATGTATGTATATGTACAGATGAAGGAAGAATATGAAATTACATTACAAGTATTTGATTAATATTTATCAATACAATAAAGATCAATACTATAAAACGAAAAAAGTGACATCCTAGCTCTTTATACTTTATTGTTGACCTTGTACATAATCTTTAAAGAAAAAAACAAACATGCAACTCAAAGAGAAATTAGTCGTAAATATAAAAAATTGAGTAGAAAAACTCAATTGAAATATCAAATGATAATCATTGAATGAAGATTACTTGACGATATATTTTGGTTTTGAGAAAGTGAAATTTATCTAAAAATCACAGAAAAAAGTTACATGAGATAGTCGTTTGGAAGGCTACGTAATTTCGTTGCAAGCAACTTTAAGCAAGTAACTTAAAACTGTAACGAAAGAAATGTCTAAGTTTCAACAGCGGTTCTCTGTGACAAGACCTTAAGGTCTTTTTAGATTGTCCGCGTTCTTTATATCTATCCTTAACTTTTCCAAGTGTAATTTTTCACTTTTATATTAGTATCTTAAACGTTTGTATTTTAAATCATGTAATGAAGGACGAAAAAAAAAAAAAAAAAAAAAAAAGAAAAGACCATCCTTCTCGGTATCGAGTGGTATCGAACCGATACTAATAGTATCGACATTAGTATATAAGCGATACCACGCGAAACGAGACCATTCTTCTCGGTATCGACTTAAACGACACCGATTATCTAGTATCTAGTTTAAACCTGCCTCTGCAGTTTAAGAAAAAAACAAACAAAAAAAAACACATAAAAAAACATAATTAAAACAACTTTTTATTATATATTTAAACGGTTTTTATCGTCGTTTTAAACTTGGTGAGACAGTAAAATTTTAAACGCGTTTAAAATACGACAGTTTTTGTGTTTTTATCGTCAGTATAAACAATGTGTTTTTATCGTCAGTAAAAAACACCAAGGACGTTTAGTAATCCTCCCAGGTTTTACTAGTGGCGCAAACTTGTTGCATAGTCTTAAGAAATATTCTATTATGACTGGGCTTGTTGGGAGTTTTTTTTTTGCGTAACTTATGTACGAAAAAAGTTTCTTGACGTTATTTATAAACGTCATTGTTTTTAGCGTGAAAAACAAACAAATAAAAACATAAAAAAATTACAAATAATTTCAAAAAACATGGATTTCCTTCAGCTCCCTTTTATATTTTTAAAACGCAGAAATGCTTTAATTCGCTTGTTCAGTGAAAAATCAGGAGGTGAGAATTATAGTTATCACAATATTAATATATTTGTATATACCTAAATTTTTAAATGTATTTTAAATAGAGTGCTCAATCTAAAGTGCATTTTTAAATAAATGTAAATAGAGTGCTCAATGTTTTTAAAAAAGCAGAGAAACACTATTCATAAAGTTTATGTTATTATTATGACAATGATAAGGTGTGTTTTTTAGTTTTGCTAGAACATTTTAAAATTTTACTTTAGTAAAATATTATTTGCATGATCTTATACATCTTATTTTGAATTTTTTCAAAAATATAAAATCATCTTTCTAGGTTAAGTTTTTAAATTGTTATGTTTTTAACGTGTAATTTTGATTTAAAGAAATACTATAAATTGTTTATTTGGTTTTTAACATTAAAATCTAGGCATCATTCAACTATATCCTCCCTACCTTGTTTTTATGATTGATTATGATAAAATGTATCGTGGTGATTCAAAATCATGGTGTGTATAAAACTCTAACATATATTATTATACTATTAATGCAGAATTTTATCACATTTTCAATGTCTTTAACTTAAAACATTTAACACATTAAAATCCTACTAAAACATTAAGGACATCAAAAACCAATTATTCTAATAACGAATAATAAATACTAAATACTAGTTTATGTAAAATTAAATTATAATTGTAACTTTATGAAGACATCTTTTATGTGACTTTTGTGTTGCAGTAATATTAATTTTGAGTTATAGCAATATTAATACCACCACAACCACCACTGCTTTTTTTGGCTCTATCAGACTATTTATTCCATAGTCTAAGAAATGATAAAAAAGTTCATCTTATTCAGGGCTTAATATAACAAACTTTTTTGTTCCTGACAAAAAAACATCTGTTAAATACTCAAGTTTGATGGACATGTCCAATAAAAATTAAAGATGTGTGGTCAAAGCGCCATTCCTGACCACTCATAAAATATTTTGTTTTACAACTTGACCATGCAATTTATTTTGACAACTCTAGGCGTTTCAAAATGCGCTGAAAATAAAAAGTATTTGTAAAATAAATTCTTAAAATAAATCTAAAATAATAAAATCTTAAAGAAAAAATCTAAGCTAAAAAAAAGTTTGAAAAGGAAAATATATTTGTTACGTTTTTTTAAAAATTACTATACTATGTAAAATGCTTTTTAATTTATTATAAATTTGTTTAATACATAAATTAATAAGTTTACTTATTACTTTATTAAATAAAGTAACAAATTAATTATAATGATTGTTTATAATAAATCCATTTTATTTAAATTCTCAAAGAATGTTTTATGCAACTACATTTATATAAATATGTATTTTTTTATAAATCTCTTCAAACTTTTTCTATGATTAATTTTATAAAGACTTCTAATAGCAAAAAACTTTAGCACTAAAACAAACTTTTCATAATTTTTATCCATTTATTTAACCATAAAATTCAAATATTTACAAAGTGATTTATAATTTTACAAAATTAAGTTTGGTGTCAATCATATAGTTGAAAACTAGTCATTGGAGTGACACCTTAATATATAAACAATTTCTTTTAATAACTATTAAAGTTTTTTATTTTTGAATTTATCACAAATATTTTTATTCTTTTAACTTTGCGTTTAGTTCTTCTGTTTGTTTAATGTTTTTCTTCTATTTTTATCTTTTAATATTTTCATTATTTTCATTCTATTTCTTTTTTTTTTTCAAATCTTCTATTCTAAACAATTTTTATTTGTTTTTCTTTTGCTCTTTTATCTATTTTTCACCTTTTCATCGTTAAAAAAAATCTATGGAGTCCCTATTTTAGCCCGGAGTCCGGAGTTTAGGGAGTCCATAAAAATTTAGGACTCTACTACTCTTTTTTTTTTATATAGTTATTAATAAGCTTAAGAAATACCTGATAGTCTCAAAACATTGTAAAAGAGCATTCGAGCGGAAAGCTTATCTCCTTTCTCACCAATTTGAACCAATACTCAGATTGAGTATTGGTTCGAATGTTACGCCTTGTTAAGAGGCATTACCAAGCTCGCATTTTATGTGCGAAAAGATCATATGCCTACGTGTTCAGCAGTTTAATGTTAAGAGAAAACTTTCATCTTTTAGAATATTAATTTTTATTTTAATATCGTTGATGTGACATTTATTCAGAAAATATAATGTTCAAGTAAAAGCATTTAACCGCAATTGTGGTCTAATAGATTTTTTTGTTAAAGAAACAGTTTGTTTAATAATTATTTTTTTTTGTTAAAATTAATTAAAGAAAATAAAGTGTTTTAAGTTTAAAAATTTCATCATATTTAATGTTAAGTTTTATATTAAGTTAATAAACTTTTATTCGCAAATTGTATTTATTTTATAATTATATTTATTATTAAAATCGTTACATATATTATATATATGTAACGATTTTTGTTTATTTATTTATTTATAGTTTTATAACGATTAATTTTTTTTATCTCATTAAGAAAGTACTTATGATTAACTGTTTATTTAAGTATTTTCTCATCATCAAATTTTGAGACCCAGGAGTAATTTTCCTAAAAAGAGAGGAAGTTAACATTTGACTTACACTTAAATATTTTTTAAGCATTGTTTAAAACTGTAAACTATAGTAGGAAACTATACTTATAAATAAATGAGGCTTGTAAATACTATTTGAAAAAAAAAAAATTTAGTTTCTTTTAATTTCAACCCAAAATGGTGTGAGGTATTATGTACTTGGTTTCCAGTCTACTCTGCTAAAAAAATCAAAAATTTTATTTTAATAACGCCTAATGAAAAATTGAAATAAAAGCAATATGGTTTAGATACAAAAAATTATCAAATTTTACTAGCAAATTAACTATATGCAATAAAAAACAAATTTGTCTGTGAGTTTGCGCTATAAAATCAAGCTAACGATCTAGACAGTTGGCAAAAATTGTGCTAAAAATTAGGTTAGAAAGAAGCCAAAAAAAACATAAAAATACCTCAACAAATAAATAAAAATTATTTTGTGCAGCAATTTCTTTTATAGAAAAAACTACTAACGCCATCAATTTATAACTAGTCATTGTAACAATTTTCCTAACTATGTTTTCGTTGGTTGTTTTACAAAAACAACTAATTTGGACACTGGACACTGAACATTTTCCAGTGCCTATTTCGAGCCTTGTAATTCTTGATTTTTGATTTACTACTTTTGATTTTTAATTTGCTATTTAATTATTAAAATTTTGGTGCATTAGCAACATCTTTAGTTTACCAGCAGACCTGTGAATATTTTTTGCTAACATACAAGCATGTCATGCTAAATTATTTATTCTCAATGCATAAAATAAGAGAGGAAAGTGGTGGAAAATAACTTTCATTGAAAGAAATATCTGAAAATCTGGTGCAAAAAATGAAAAGTGTGTAAAGAAAAGCATAGTACTGTAGCAAGTACTGTGTCACTTACGTATTGTGAAAATGCACAGCAATAATAGATTAATGGTGTTTTAACTTGTTTCTCTGTGCAGCAGCCTTGTTCATCAAGGTTCATGTTTCGAAGATATAGAGTTAAGACAGTGTTGTAATCACAATTAAAGCAGCCTTCTTGACTGTAGTGGTCTTCATGGCCTTGGAGAATTGAATTGAAATTAAAAAAAAAAGATAAGCTTAAGTGAGAATTAACTTTAGCAACAGAAACAGGAGTAAATTGGACGTTTCTCAATGGATTAGCTTATTTCTTTTGGATGATAATAAGAGTTATAAGTTCTTTGCAAATTATTTGTCTTATGGAGAAAAGAGGAAGAATTTTCTTTAGATAAATAGGTATTTAGATCAGATTCATATATGAGTGATAGAATGTTAAACAAAAGACAACAGCCCAAGGACCATCACAATGAAAATCACAAAATTAGTCTCAGTCTCAACTTTAAGGTATGAAGTGCAATAAACGATGTAGAAGAAGTATGAGTTAAAGTAAAAATTTTAATGAGATCTTTACTTTACCTCACTTACAACCATCTTCATAAGAAGAAACTACGCACAAATCAAGGTCAGAGACAGAAGAAAGAACAGAAGTAAGTGATTATCTAGATTTTGAGATAGAACCAGTGGTACTAGAGCCAAGTCATTCAGCATAATGAGCATTTAAAGTCACCAATAACAGTGCTGTGGATGAGACAAAAGAGATGTGGTCAATATGACAAGAAACAATATTTTAAGGAGTGCAGTCTTGGGAAGAGGAAGAATGATTAAAAAAAAAAATGTGAAAAAAATTGTCAGAAAATTCTAAACCAATTTTGCGACAAGTTGGTGAATTAATATGCAATGATATGTAATTCTGTTGGTGAATTGATATGTAAGTGTATACCCAGACAAAACATTCAACTATAAAAAACTTTATAAATCAAAGGAGAATAGCCTTCTACAATTTGATGATGAAACATTTAAAATAAGTTTCACAAAAAGCAAGTAGATTTGGTGAATTTTGCTAAAGGTTTTTTTTGCTAAAGATAAAAAATGGATAAAAAAGAATATTTTCAGGTACTTTTTTCATGTAAAGTAAAATATTTTCAATGTTATAACTTGATTTAATCATAGATATTGGACCCTTTAACAATATGCTTGCCTCACACTTGATAATCAATCTAAAGTTATAACAAATTGCTCCTTATGTGACCTCGACAATGCACACAAAAAGTACATACAGAGTTTTGGAAACTAAGCTGGCTTTAAACACAATATAATGCAGTTCTACATCTGTTACACCAGCCAACTTGATAATTTTTATTTTTATTTAAATTTACCTCACAAAGACTTTCTCTGGAACCTTGGGGAGGTAAATTTGAATAAACATTTTGTTTTACTTTTGGCTTTTCAACATGTGTTCTGTGATTAACATGTGGCCTAGCAACAATTGTCCTTCATCTTTAAGTATTTTTCCTTGGTTTTGTTCTTTAAATTATTGGTCTTTGGTTGATTTTAGCCTTGCAACATGTGATCTTGGCCTTAGTATACTTAGCCTTGTTACAACTCTTGTTCTTCCATTCCTACTATATTATTACTCACCTTTTACTTGTTAAATGTTAAATTAACTATAAAAAAAGTAAAATTGTGCTTTATTAACTCATTTTATATCTTTTGTCATTAAATATTTTTTATTAAAAGTAAAATAATAGATATTACTGTTTCATTTTATTCTGTTTCTTTTTTCCTCTGTTGCATTTTACTCTATACACTATGCTTTTTTACTCTTTACTTTATATTTTACTTAAATATCATAAAGAATTCTTTATATTAATAAGTCATGATTTAGTTATATGTTGATAAAAGTTGTATGACCACTACTTCTATTTGTATTGCACTTGTATTTTGTATTGTATAATATTTAAAAATACAAGAAGTATGTATCTTCAAGTATATATAAATAAGTCGAAATAAAGTTATGATTAAATAATCTTTAAGTATATTAGATCTACATAAGTATATTTTGCAATTAAAACATTGACTAAAAAAATATCATTCAGATTTAGTTATTTATCTCAGGTTTGATTTTTACATCACTCAAACATTTCAATAAAGTACAATCATTTTTAAAACTTCATCAGCCCTTGGTAGCCAAATGAACTTTTGAGTTATAGTACATTGTAACTTCAATTTTTTTTAGCAATCTTGGTCAAGCAGATGCACATTTATGTTGTTTTGTTTTTAATTTTTTTATAAACTGCTCCTCCTGTTTTAGCCTGCTACTTACTTTTAATTGAAAATTTAATAGAATGTGTTTTAAAAACTTCGTTTTTAAATCTTAAATCTATTATTTCTGGTTCCAACTTTTATACTTGCATTTTTTTTTTCATAATTTAATAATTCTTTTCTCAATTTAAGGACTGTCATTAAAATGGAAATCACATTTTTAGTGATTTTATCCAGGTAAGAAAAAAAAAAGAAAGGTTATGTTCAATTTCCCACCCAATGTTTCAAAATTTCTCTCTTGCTTGAAAACATAGAGTTTGAAACACAAAAAAGGAATGGCATAATAGTAATATAAAAAAAAAACAAATAAAATAATTTGAAAAATATATTATTCAAAGAGAAAAAATCCATGTAACTTTGTTTATTTATTATATAAAAAATTGTTTTACTGAAACAGTTATTTTATTACTTGAAAAATTGTCTTGTTGAAACAGTTATTTCAATAAAATTCTAGCACGTATAAGTTAATGTCATTGCTTTAAAATGTAAAAATAAGTTAACAGAAAAAACTAACGAAAGTTTGTTGCAAAACATGCTACAAACATTTATTAGGATATATATTTTTAAGTTTGAAAATATATTGCCTAACAATAATTAAAATTACAAAAATTTTTTTTTATAGTTTTAATATGCATTGAAAAGTTGAAAAAAAAGTTGATTAACTCATGTAATCCATCAAAAGTATTAAATTTTGCATTTAAAGGGAAGTTAAGGGGCAACCTTAGTAGGCAATCTAAGTTGGTCTGAGGCCTATCTATAAAAAATCCTGAAAAATAGAAAAGTGATCTCAAATCATAAGTGTAAATATTTTATTAATTAAGAAAGATAGTTCTTTTTTTGTTTTGTTTGAAGATAAAGCATTTATAGTAAAAAATATTATTTTAAAGTTAGTGAATTTTTATACTTTTTATGTAGACATGACACAGAGGGATTAACTGCAAAATGAAAAACATTCAAGTTTGACAGAATTGCTCATGCTCATGTTAATCTTTTTTTTGGTTTGACCTAACCAATAGTTTTCAGGTTTCGATTTTTCCATGTTTTTTATTAACTCTGCTATTTATTCATTTAACACAAAAATCTTTTGTCATTTTTCAAGATTAAAAAATTGTATTTCGTATGCCTTTCACAAAAAATTGTATTTTGTATGTTTTTTTCAAAATATTGTTTTTTTTGGATGTTTTTCACAAAAATTGAAGAGATAATTGTGTTTTGTTTAGCCTTGATGTTTTATTATGAATTTAGGGTTTTATTATTGTTTATCATGAAGCTAACCTACATTTGATGTTTAATTTTTTACAAGAATTTATATATAAAATTATTTGAAACTCGGGATTATTATTTTATTTTACTTCACCAAGTACGTTCTACCAAAAATTAAAGTTGCAAGTTTTATTAAATTATAAAAAGTAGAGTTATTAAACGGATTCTATTTAAATTTTCTAGAAAAAAAAACTCTTTCAAAAGGATTTTGACGCAAGGAATTAATTATTTTCATATCGAATTAGACAAAACATTAAAAATATTTTATGTGCATTTTGCTAATGCTCATTCCGAATTATAGTATTTTGCAAATTGAGTTTTAAAATAAAGCTTTTTTGCTACCTATGAAATCTTCTTTTTTTTCCTTTATATATTAAGAGTTTTATATTCATATCAAGTAGTCAACTTGAAGGTCAACCTGGACAAAATTTGTAATTGATTTAATTTAGGTTTTTTTTCCTTATTAACTTTCTGACTTTTTTTACATGGTTTATATATGGTTTATAGTTTAGAAACTAAGAAAAAGTCTAAAATGATTAGTGTAAGTCTAGAGGGGTTACACATGTATGTGTAACATATATATACATATATGAACATACAATCTATATGTATATATATAAATATATATATATATATATATATATATATATATATATATATATATATATATATATAGTATATATATATATATATATATATATATGTATATATATATATATATATATATATATATATATATATATATATATATATATATATATATATATATATATATACATGTACAAAATGATACTAAATCTTAGAGATCTGTAGAGTACCTTGCTTAAATCCAGTTTTTCTGGTTCCAAGCTGGACGCCCAACACCTATTTTTTAAAATTAGTATAATCTACTAATTTTTAATAAAAGTTAATAAAATATTAAGTTATTAAGTATTAAAATAACATTTTCAAAATTGAGACAAATAATGCATTGGAAGTAACAAGTATAAGAGATGAGAAGTCTGTTGTATGCATTGCTTTTGTTGTAAATTAGCTATTTAGTATTAAGAAACTCATCTTGGTAATACTCTACATTACTGACTATAATTCATAAAGTTGAAGATCTTGATTGTTTTGATGATTTGTTATTATTATTTCTAAAGCTGAGAATTTATGGCCTACTGTTAAGGAATCATTTTTTTAAATTTATTTTATTTTAAATACATTTTGTTATGACCTCAATTTTTTAACTTTGAAATTCTAAACTTTAATAAAAATAGCCACTTTAAAGTAAGTTAAGAATAGTTGAAGGTTTAAGCTAGTTCTATTCAAGGTAGAGCTAGATAGGGCTAGTTAAGGCTAGATAGTTCTATTTAAGGTAGAGTTGTATTATTATATAAATCTTATTTGTTGTTAAAAAAGCAAGCACTCTACCACTATAAGCAAGCACTCTACCACTATATCAGAGACTTTGTTTGCTAATTTTGATAAGAAGAAATAAGCATTTATAAGTTACATTTTTTCTTTTTTTTTAAATTAGACCAATTTACGGGTATACCAAATCAGCATACAGTTTCGAATAGTGATCGATTCTGGTTGAAGTACACCAGGACCATGGCTGAAAAAGATATAGGTAAAGAAATCAGGTAAAAGACTCATGTTTTGCTTTATTTGCTGTTTTTTAAAAATTTATTTTTAAGATAGTTACACTCAATTGAATAAATTGTTGACAATTAACCCGCTGCTTATGAGATTTTATCCATTCCATGAACATACCTTTTTTAGGTTTTAACTCAAACATACAGTGGTATTGCTTGCTCCAAAAAGCCAATGCAGAATTTTTATTTAAAAGCCTATTTATGCTGGATTTTCCCATATATATTTGATTTGAAGTCCCATAAATAAATAATTGCTACATTTTATAATGACATGTAACCTAATTAGATTAAAGTTTCATTATAAAAAGAGTTTTTAGCATGATATTGTAATAATGATAGATTTTATATAATGGTTGAATGTTTAACATAATGTAGAAAATATAATGGATATTTTTTGAGAATCTTTGAATGGATTTTTATCAGCTTAATTTTTATTACACTAGTTATTCGTTTATTTATACAACATTACTTATTTGATAAAAATTTTGATAAAGAGCTATAAAATGTTTTTTATTACTGCTCATAAAAAATGTTTTATATTTCTTAATGTAATAAAATGCAGGCATTTTAAGAGTCATTAAAACAGCTAAAAATTCCACAATATAATATTTAATAAATAATATTTTTAAGTAATTAATATATAAAGTATACAAATAATACAAAAAATAATAATTATTATGCAATAATTTTTATAAATTTTACACAATAGTGTAATAGTTTTTATTTTTTATCAGTTAAATAACTTTTTATTTTATCAATATAATTTAGACTAAAATAATTTTATATTTATCAGTTAGTCTAATCTAATCAAAAACATTTACATTTGAATCAGCGCTATTTTTCAATTTTTTAATTTTTTTGCATCAACCGTGCCTTTTAAAAAGCATTGCATTATACAATGCAACTAATTTATTTTTTTCAATAAAAATGACATGGTGTTTTTATCGAAGGTTCAATGATAATTATACTTTTAAGAGAAAAAATTTTTTAAATTTACATTAATAATTTCTTAGAAATTCTCACACCTAAGGCGGCATTATTGGCTGATGATACTACCATTTATTCTTGTCTCGATAAGAAGCCTAAAATCTCTGATTGCTTGGAGGGACATTTGAGCTTAAAAAAGATCTTAGTTCTGCTACAGCATGGAGCTCTCAGACTTATTCAGGATTCTGTTCTTTATCTCTATAAATCTCTAATCCATACTTGTATGAAATACTGTTGCCATATCTAAAGTGGATCTTTGAATCATGTCCTTTCTTTTTTAAATAAAATGTAAAAGCGCATTGTAAATGTAGTTGGACCTGCTCTTGCAGCCAACCTTCATAAACAGAACTTTAATAAGTCAGGCACACCATCCATGTTACATGAATAGTGCCCCTGACACCATCCATGTGTAAAATGGCACTTTTAATACTCTGATACTTTACAGATGTTTTTGAAATCACCTCTCTAAGAGCTACCGCAAAGTACAGAAAACTTGCCCACAGAACTATAAAACTGAGTTTTAGAGCTGTATCCTCATTAAGAGATAATAGAATGAGTTGCCCAATCAAAAAAATAGAGACACAAGCAAATCCCATGCATTAAGTCAAGTAGATCCAGCATTCAATATCCTAAACTGAAAACATAGTATTATAAATACATATGCACCAGCCTAATAGATGAAGAAAGGATGTGAAGCTGGTCAACTGGTAGAATCTGTTTATACTGTAAGAAATAACAATAATAATTATTATAACAAAAGTAAAAAAATTCAGCTATAAAAATATAAAATAACTTAATTGATACGAATCATAGTAATAGTAAAAATAAGTGTGTTTACAATAATAATAATGACTATAAAAAATAATAATAAATATTATAATAATAGTTATAAGTAGAGTTGCAAAAAAACATGTTTTTTTGCTTTCATGTTTTTTTCACCTCAAAATAAACACATTTTTTTTAGTTTTGTAGTTCCTCCTCGACTGTAGTTGGTTTTTTTTGTTTTTTTTTTTGTTTTTTTTTTTTTTGTTGTAAATTGTGGTACAACCCTCTCTCAATTCTTAAACTCCGAAACACAAACCTAGACAAACAAGGCCGCTGTGTGGAGAAATTAAGTTGAGCGTGGTACTTCCAGGGACATGGTGGGAGTTAAACTCCGAACCTCTCGCTTACAAAGGGAGCGCTCTTACCACTACACCACTACCGAGTAAATCAATGTTAAAAAATTTCATGTTCCTACTATCAAAAGCTATAAAAATCAATCGATAACATTTTTTACTCATGATAACATAAGCATTTGCTTTAAGTATTACTATTTTTTATTAAAAAATGTTTCACTCTTCATAGAAAAATGAATACCCCAAAATGCAGTTAAAATCTTGTCATAGTGGAATAATCATATTCTCACTATGACAAGGTTCTAACTGCTGTTGATTAAGTTGATGCTAGGAATGTCTCCTAAAAAATGTAATAGTGATTAAGTTGATGTTAGGATTGTATTTTAAAAAATGTAACACAGCATTTAATAATATACTGTTCTGATTTTGAGGAACTCAGGAGTAAGACCAAGTAGTTAAATCACTTACGTTGTTTTGCCTCTGCCACATCACTCAAAATTTTGCAAAAAGCACTGGCAAGATCATTGCCGCTTTCACCCGTTATTAATTCAGTCTATAATGCACAGTACACCTTTTTGATTGTTGAAAAAGCTTTCTCAGATAAAAAAGGAACTAATTTCTGCATGCGGAGTCAAAATAACATTTTGAAAATCAAAAAGTAAAACTGGAACATTTTTTTTTTTTTTTTTTTTATATCTCTCATTTCTTTTTTAAAAACTTGATGTCTTTTAAAGTCTTTTCTCAATTTTTTTAGACATAGTATCAGTGATTTAAGCAATATTAAACTTCTCACATAGGTCGCATCTATCCTTTTTGGGAATGTGAAAACCAAGATTGAATTCAATGGAGAAAATATTATAGTACATAGTTCAATATTTTCGTTTATACGTTTCTCGTTGTAAAAATTATACATTAAGGTGGCATTTGACATACAATAAAGTGACATGACTTTGTAAAATTTATACATTAAGGAAACCTTAACATGCGACTAAAGAAATTCTCTATTGGTACTTACATGACATTAATGTGACTCAACTGTTGGAAAAGATTTTATATGATTCCTAGCTGAGTTGGCATCACTGTGCAGTGTACACTTGCCTTTCATAATTTTACTTCGTAGATCTTGTGCAGGAGTATTTGTTTTATCATCTTCGGTTTTGTGAAATTGACAGTGTAGTTAGGTAGAATATGAGTTATTAGAAAGCGTGGTTGTCAGTTTCTTTGTTTGCAGTATCACTATCTTTGTTTTCCTCATGGTTTCTTTTTGGTCAAGCAGTGGTTGTGCGATCAGTCGAAGTAATAAAGAAATGCCTTTTTTCAGTAGCTGAATTTAAGGCATAAAATAATTTTAAAATATCTTTACGCTCATCTTCATATATTTTCTTAGCACATTTGTACTTACAGTTTGCCAGACAGTTTTTTTTTGTATAGATGATTTTATTATGTACTTGTTTTCCTCTTTAACTTGTATATTTTTTAACAGCTTGGTATGCCTTTTTTTTTTTATTACATCTCCAGGTTTCAGGTTTAGATATTCATTTTAAGAATTAATTTAAGAATTTCTATTCTTGAACGTTTGTTGAACGTGATCCCTAGAAGAGTAATATAGTATAGTAGATAATAGTATCTCTAGTATATTATCATATACTAATTGAATCATTCTTAAGTGGTTAAAAATAGTTCACTTAGTATATAATAGTAGATTTTAATGTCAAAACTACATTTTAGATGAAATTTTTATGATAAAAACAAACCATGAATATATAAAAAATATTTAAGATTTAGAGGATGATCATTGGGGAACACTACATATTTTGCTTACTTTTTTGTCACTAATTTAGCATTATTTGTAGATTGTACATTCATGTCTATCTCAGAATTATTTTCAGTCTGTGCTACATAAACATTGGCATTGTTTCCAGAAGCTTCTTCTACAATATTTCGTTAGAATTGCAGTTCTGGTTAAATTAAAAAACCTCTTCTTCCAGTTTAAACATATTAAAAGTAAAATTCTTTTTTTGATACATAAAACTTTCTGAAATTTATAAATTTAGCTATTTTAACATGTAAATACATGGTTAAAGTCACACTAAACAGTAATATGTATAATTAGAATACTAAATGTTTACATAATTCAAACTTAGATGCTTTTGCTGGTTGGGGCGACAAATTCGTTACTATCATAACTGCTTTTGATATCAAATACTACTCTTTCCATTTTCTGTTAATATTTTACACAAGTTAATACTTTTCAAATTGTCTTTTTTTTTTACTTTCAAACTTTTAAAGGAAACTTTCAGAATAATTCTTTTCAATTTTTTTTTTTAAACATCTTTGCTTCCAACAAGGCTGCAAGCAACCACTTATTAGAGTTGGAAGTTACTGGAAGAGAAAAGACGAAGATAGTAGAGCAAGATAACAATTGACAGGCGACTTAAAAGATTGCAAGTTATATGAATCAGGATAGCAAGATGAAGGAAGCAAATTCCAAAGAACTGATGTTCCAGGAAAAAAACTAGTGGATTAAGAGTTTTTGAAGGACTTAGGAACAATCACAGAAAAAGGATGACACTTAATTGAATGAGAAGTAACATGAGAAAGAATTTTAGTAGATGGCACAAGAGACGCTAGCTTTAGAGCAGTACCCATTATAGTACTTGTAGAAAAGAGAAGGTTGGCTGCAAGAGCAGGTCCAACTATGTTTACAATGCGTTTTTTGATCTGCCCCAGATATGGCAACAGTATTCCATACAAGGCCGGATTTGAGATTTATAGAGATAGAAAATAGAATCCAGAGTAAGAAAGTGTCAAGCTTGATAAAGAGATGCAACTTTAGCAGATATTAATTTTGCAATGGATTTGATATATGGTTTCCAAGAAAGA